GAGTAACACTGTCATTCAGCGGCCTCCGTAGTCTAGGGGTAACGTGCCCACCTCGTGACTCAAGGTATGCGGGTTCAAACCCGGCGGAGGTCGTGGAATTTTTAAGGGCGGAAAAATTCAGGGAACAAGTCCTCCGGGAAAGACTTTAAGCTGTGGGTCCTGTGTCGTAGCTTTACGGCACATAAAAGTACCTCGTGTCCGAAGGGGACCTCTGAGCCAAATTCAGGACATTTCCCACCCAACAGTAGTCTCTAACGCCTCTGGTAGATGGGGAAGCATCGAGATACCGCTGAGCCAGTAGAGGCCGAACTCGCTGGCTGAGTCGGGACTGATGGCACGCACCAGTACCGGTAGGGAATAGAGACTGGTAGAATATCATAGGATGGACGCACAATGGACCAACAGTTGGGCTAAGTGCATGGGGAAACCCACCCTCTCCAACAACAACAACAACAACACTGTCATGCAGGTTGTGCTAGGTTCAAATATAAGCTGTCTTCAATGAGCCCATCAATTCTACCATTCAATGCTACATTGTCTCAACAATGACAGTGTCTTAAAATAACCCACAAAAGAAATGTGTTGGTTTTATCAAACCGAGTAACTTAAAGAGTTTCTGCTAGATGCTGTTGTGTTACTTCACAATGGCCCTTGGCTAGTATGAGAGAGAAAGTAAGATAATGGTGGGGGAAAGTAAAATGGCAGGTTTGATGTTTGTAGCAAGATGAGTGATAGTGACATGTAGTATGATAATGCAGGATTATAATGCTTTTCCACTGAAGTTTTGAACTAACTGGAGATACAGGTGTATTATAAAAGGTAGAAAGCTATATCTGTAACAGGCTGTGAAGGCCCATAGGATTACGAGATGTCGAGGCTTCCAGATTTTGTCTAGACCGTCAGCTCACAGATGGCAGTAAGTTTGTCAGCCTTACTCATTGACCACCCTTTACACCCCAGGTAGATTCTAGTACTCATTTGTCTTTAGAGGCTGAGGTGACCCCAGAGCCATAGTGCGGCCGCAAGGATTACGTAAATTGAAAGAATCCACCTCATCAGGACTTGAACCTGCGACCTGGCTCGTAGCATAGTGCCTCAACCAGCTATGCTACTGTATGCTCTTCAGTTATACTATTGCAAAGCTAATCACACTACAGATTCCACATAATAATAAATCACTTTCCTTATAAACTGTTAAATGTAGCCCATATAGGAAACTATCTGGAAAAAAGTTTAGATAATCTTTTATATTATCACAAATTTTATATTTCTGGATAATGTTCAGAACATAGTGTTTTTACTAATGTACCATTGTCACAAGTCAAAGTCACATTGCAACTGACGGTCAATCACTAAGTCTTGGTTCCGAGCCTCATCTGGAGCTCATGACCTGATATTTATTACGGTTTGACAGTTACGGTCTTGTTTCTGTGGGCACCCTCTCTGATGAGAGGATGTGTCTGTCTGTTGTTTATGCTGCTGTCCCTTGCCAGCGCAGTCTCTGTTGGGTCCGAGTCCCTTGGTACTGGCGACTATATTTTACTGTCTCAGATTTGAGACTTCCCTTTTTGTCGCCTCCTATGACTTGCAGGGTCACAATGGAGGTATTCAACCCCGCCTCATAATGACATGTTCAGAAAAATCTTCACAGTTCATTTGATATGGATCGATATGGAACAGAGCAAATAATTTCAGTAACTCCTATTATCATAAAATTTTAGTGAAAACACTTCCAGATAATACAGATTTGTTTTGCCTGTGTAGAATGACATAAAAATGTGACACTTCTGAGTTACCAGAAAAAATTCAAATTGTATTTGATGTATGACTGAGATTTGTGGTTCATGCTGTGATGTTGGCTGATTTATTGAGTTATAGCTGTTTTTTTAATTATGCTACGTGAAGTCTGTATGGATGTAAGTTAGACTATTTCTGATCATATGGTTTAGTTAGTCAGTCTGTTTAGTGATAGTTTTGTTTGGCAAGAATGATCAAGTCAAGGAGGATGAGATGGGCATGAATGGGGGAGATGAGGAATACATGTAGGATAGTGGTGGGAAAGCCAGAAGGAAAGAGACCACAAGGAAGAACAATATGTAGGTGGGTGGATATTATATAAATAGATCTTGGAGAGATAGGATGGTGTAGTATGGACTAGATTGATCTGGCTCAGGATAGGGACAAGTGGAAGGCTCTTGTGAACATGGTAATGAACTTTTGGGTTCTGTAAAATGCTGGGAAGTACTTGAGAAGCTGTGTGACTGGCGGCTTCTCAAGAAGGGCTAAGCTTCATGGTACCACACTCAAAATCATAACATCAAGGAAGGTCATGTATAACATATGTGTATGGGGAAAACAGGAATGCAGATAGGATTTTGGATGGAAAGCCAGGAGGAGACCACTAGGACAACTAGATGTAAATGGGAGGATAGTATTACAGTAAAATGGATCTTAGTGAGATAGAATGGGAAGTATGGACTGGATTGTCCTGGCTCAGGATGGGAACCAATGGACGTCTCCTGTGAACAATTGTGAAGTTCTTGGCCAGCTGGATGACTGGTGGCTTCTTATGAAGGGCTCAACACCATGGAGTGAGTGAGAGAGATTGTATCACAATAGTCATGAAGCAACATTGCAAACGTTGCATTGAGTATTTACTTGTGGAGACAAAAACACTCGTTTTGCCTCCTCATATCAACAGAGTTATTAATTCACATGAGATTTCCTGCTTTTGCAGCAATGATGGTTTAAATTGTGTTCTCGGTTATGAGACCGTGTAATCAGGTGGGTGGTTAGTCATATTTTGGAAGAACCTGCTAGGTTATCTTTACGTTTCACTGCTACCTTGAAGCGGGAAGGTGCATATTCTCGCGAAGCACTGGGAACTGCCTGCAAACCACAACATGACATGACACACCTCCACAGTCTAAATGGCCTAAAGCAGTGGTTCTCAACCTTTGTGAGACCGTGGCCCAGTAATTTTTTTTTATATAGAAGACGAGGGCCTAATATCGGCCCGCGGCCCGACGGTTGAGAAACACTGCCCGATAGCATGCGGGTACCGAAATATAGCATCAGATGGCGTGAAAGTTCTCTCACACACAACGATGATTATGGATGGAAAGATACGAAACTCGATGGAGATATTAACATTATATTCTTATTGATGAACTCTTGTGATATTTTCTAACATGAATTGTTTTATATGTATATGCGTCTAGAAAGTAATATAAAATTCTAATTTCCCATTATTTATGACTAATTTTACAACATTAATAACTTATTGATAGAGCGACTAGTGTGATATTTTTCTTTTTAACGTCTCTGTATTTGTGTCAACCGTCGGCGGGACGGTTTTAATTTGAAGTGTGTTTGTCGTTACTTGATAAACATTCAGTTCGCTTTTGTTTTAGATTTATCATGTTGTGTGTTTAGAATAGACAAAGCGGGTTGGATAGCCTTACAGTAATTTATATTTGACGCCAGGAATACCGGATAGCAATATAGGTGGATTTCGTATTGCATATGATTGAAATAGTGTTTGGTTATTGGATTAGTGTAGGTGTTAAAATTCAACAGAAGACTGTATGAAATCATTTATTTTGTATACGTAAGAACACATGAAGATAGTGTATTCTACTAAGGCAATATTTGTATGGCCATTGTGTGGCTGAGAAGAACATGACCATTCCCTTAACTACTATATTCATGTCATTGTTCCGAGTGTTATAAACAAGCTTTTTGCAAGATAATTTTGGATGTTTAATCTACTTTACATAGCAGTGAGAATCAGTTACTTTTTAACCTAGCATTACATACTTTCTTTGTTCCCTGTAGTATCATTGGAAGTGGAAGGGTTGAGAGATCCTTGATCATTGTGGTATCTAGGACTAAACGTATTTATATTGTGTTTTTTTATATATGGTTGGGTCTACATGCCACAACATTATAGAGTATCAGCTGATACATCCTGAGCCAGTTCAGTCTAGTTCATATCCTTTCATCCTATTTCTGTATGATAATTTGAATATTATTTTCCAATCTGTGACCAGATATATCAAGTGATCTCTTCTGATGAAACTTTATGACCAATATTTTGTATGCATTTCGTATTTCCTTAATACTGTGCTTATTTCAATCTTGCTTTCCTTGCTCTTTCATTTCTGGGACCCTTTAAGTGAGATTTGAATATGAATAGTTTGTGGGGTTAATAAAATTTTTCGTGATAGTCCTTTTATTAACTGTTTCTGATTAGCATGAAGGTGTGCTTCTGTGCAGGGTAATTGCATATGGTTCTTTTTGCAGTTGGGGCATGCGGTATCGTAGTTGGTTGAGGCACTATGCTACAATCTGGAAGGTTGTGGATTTGAGTCTGGATGGGGTGGATTTTTTTTTTTTTTTTTCAATTTACCTAATCCTTCCAGCTGCACTATGGCTCTGGGGTTGACAGACCCCCTAACAGAAATGAGTACCACAACTCTTCATGGGGGGGATAAAGGGTGGCTGGCACATAAGGCTGACAACCTCACCGCCATCTGTGAGCTGATTGTCTAGAGAAAATATGGGAGCCTCACCATCTCACAACCATATGGGCCTTCATGGCCTTTTACATGGATAGTTCTACCTTTTACTTTTACCTCTTTTTGCAGTTCTAAGCTGGCACAATGGTTCGCTATGCAGTTCTTAAAGGTGATTATGAAATTGAAAAAACTATTGGTTGTGGTGGATTTGCGAAAGTGAAGTTGGCAACACACACGTTAACAGGAGAGAAAGTGGCAATAAAAATAATGGACAAGACACATCTGGGTGTAAGTATGCTGCTGGTCTTTTATTAACATTCCTGTATAGCCATCTCTTGATACAAATGATTTTTATATATGTAATAGGAAACCACCTGTGCATTGGAGTGTGGCAGTGAGTAGAAGAGACACTTTACTTTCCCTGAAGAAGGAGGAGGCAGGTTGTTACCTGTCTACCAAACTACATATTTTACATAACAGGAACTGCAGTCTCTGAAGTACTTCCATGAGAACCACAAACCTTTCTTTGATGAGAATCTTCCAAGTATATTTCGGTAATTTGGTGAGCAAACAAGTTCTGGGGAGAACTCATGAAGACTGCTTTAGTATTATACTGACTTCTAGCCCAACCAATCTTATCCTGTTAATGTAATGGTAGTTTATGTTTGTAACCCAGTAACAAAATTCAGTTTATATTGTGGATTGGCATATTGGTCTTGTATGCAGATGGTCATATGAATGAATCCTGGTTGAGTTAGAAGATATTGTATTGCTTGCAATTTTAATCACTCTATATTACAGATTTCTATTAATGTTTAATCATAATATTATTTATTCTTTCCTAGAAAAACTTTTTGCTTAAGCACAGCTTCATCTACAATAAATTTGTTGGATGTAACGTTGAAGTTCTGCGTCACCATATTTTTGTGCCAGTTTTGTGCAGTCATTATATTGTTGCCAGTTGTAGGAAATTAAAGTGTGAGTTTCTGGTGGCCTTGATTGGCATAATGCTCATACCAAATTTCATGAAAATCAGTCATTTGTGTTAGTAGTTGAAATGGGTGGCAAGCAAACACACAGACATCATGGTGGTCTCATAAGTCTGCATTTATTTTAAGCAGGAACGGACAATAGACAAAGGAAAAAATTCTTGGCTTGAGTCAAGACTTGACAAGTGACAGATGTGAATGCACTAGCTTAGCTCTGAGCAATAAACTATGAATCTATCAACAAAATTAGAATCAGATCGTGGAAGGATGCGTATTAAGAAACACGATGGAATTTAGCTGGAAATTAGTGGAACGTCAGAACGTGAACTTCATAGCTGCCCCAAGAAGGAAACACCAAAACGTGCTTAAGAAGCAAATGGAGCCAACGGGAATCCAGCATCAGTGTATTGTAAACAGTTCCAGATAGGTGCATGGTATATACATCGTACAGTGCTAAGATCAAGATATTAACCACAATAAACAATAAATATGGACTAGCATGACGAACAGTGTGAACAACATATTTAACTTGATTTTAACATTTAATATACTATATTAACTAAAAGTGTGTATCAAGAATAATAGTATTTCAGTAGGTTTTAATAGCACAATATTTTAATATCTTAATATGTTATTAATTTGAATACTCTTAATAAATTTTAAACATTTCACGTGTGATTCTAAACTAATTTTAGGTCCAGTATAAGAACTCCAGTATATAAGTTGTGTATATAAAGGCGATTAGAAAAGTGAACGAATCCCATCATATATTTTTTCATTTCACTTTATTTTGTAACACACCAGGTAAGAGTAATATATGGATCCATATATAATTCACAACTTAATGGTAATAAGAGTTGCTAATTGTATCGCCTGAGGATGGCTCTATGAGCCGAAACATGTGGCGACATCGTATTCTAATCCAATAAAACTCAGTTATACACAATGAAGTGTGAGTGAGTTATTTGGTGAGTAGTTGTGCATGACAGGAATTAATGTGATTATTTATATATAGTGGTTATGTATGTTAAGAATTGGTTTATCACAAATCTTGGTTCCATGTATTGTGACTAAAAATTACTTTATAAACTTTACTTCACCAAAGTTCCCATTACGATCACAACCTACCCTGAACCAATGGGGTTAACTTTGCCACCTTGCTTGCCACTCACCCCACAGTAGAGCAGATGAAGTATTGTTGTGCCTGGTGAGCACTAGGAAGGATGGCTGCTTGGGAACACCATGGTTGATGGTTTTTAGTGGGCTTGGTGGCCATTGAAGGAGCTGTTTTGTTCCCATTTCTCTTTTCTCTGTCTGTATTGGACTGGGCTGAGCAGTGCCCTCCTGTTGTCCGTAGATCGTGAAATCACCATACTCAGTTTGACCCTAAAGGCATCATGTAATGTTGGCAGCACTGCCCACTTCCACACACTTCAATGACCAATGATGGGATCAGCATCATATTCTTGATGCTAACATATGATCATGTACAGCAGTGTTAAATAACCTCCATATTAGTTTCTTGTGAGTAGCATGTGTTCTATATTTTGATATTTTTCAGGATGATTTACCCAGGGTGGAGCTAGAGATGAAGGCATTAATGAATTTGAATCATCAACATATATGCAGGCTGTTCCAGTTGATTGAAACTAGTACACATTTCTTTATGGTGTTGGAATACTGTTCAGGGGGAGAGTTGTTTGACCACATAGGTATGCTACTTTCTTCATATACAAATACTTTCGTCCATGATATGTATGTAGTGTCCGTCTTTTAGTGCACTCAGTTTCACTTGTTATTTCACAAGTTTCAGCTCTATAGTGCCATCATCAGGTGCTCCATTTACGTTAACCTATTTCATTGCTTGCCATTACGTCATTGTAAAATTTAAAAAGTATTTAAAATGTTCGTCAATTATAATAAATATTTATGCACTAAAAACTTGTTAAGATTATTTATCTTATCTGTCCCAATTCTAACACCACGCATAGTTCCACCACTATGGGAGTCGTTCCTCTTACTCTCAGTGTATATCATGTCTCGTGTTGTGTGTTCCCTGTTTGGTTGCGGGTGTTGTAAATACTTTCACTTAATACAGTACATGCATTACATCACAATTCTCTATAATGGATTTTTGATGAGGTATGTTATCATCAGCATGATAATATCTTCAAGAAAATTTACTTTGGTCTGTAGCAATGTAATACAACCCCTTCTTTATGTCATAAATTTTCTCAAGATCAGGTCATCACACAAATGAATGGTACAGGACATGAAATATAGAGGTAATTTAACTCAAACAAGCTCTGATGCATTGTTATGGCGTGGTTAGCTTTGGAACATTACTTTCTTATCTGCTAGTGAGGCATACAAAACTTTAAAGAACAGTTTTGGTAAAGATCCATGAAATTTATGTACACTTAAGCAAAACTTTGTCAGATTGTAATATGGAGTGGCTTAAGACAGGTGATATTGGAATTTTTTCCCACCTTTTGTACATCCTGTAAAAATTGTCATTTAGAATTTCTGTAACATTGTTCACTCTTTTTTTTTTTACAGTTGAAAGAAATAGACTGAGTGAGGGGGAATCAAGATCTTTTTTCCGACAGATTGTGTCTGCCGTTGCGTATCTGCACAGTATAGGATATGCACACAGAGACCTGAAACCTGAGAATGTGTTGTTAGACAAGGATCAGGTTGTGAAGCTTATAGACTTTGGTCTTTGTGCTAAGCCTACAGGAGGAATGGACTGTCATCTCTCAACATCATGCGGTTCGCCTACGTACGCAGCACCTGAGCTAGTAGTAGGAAAGAGATACCTAGGTATGTCTAAGCAAGCAACTTTTTTTTCATCTAAGTAACTGATTCTCTAATTTAGACCAAAAGTTCAGCACTTATGCATAATTCCGAGCCAGTTCCATTCGTTCACCTTCTTAAAATCTTCCCTTAAATCCGCTGAGTGTTATCTTTCTGTATTATTAGTTTTGCAATGTTCTGATTTCCAAGAACATCTCTTTTAAAATGTTTGGAATCACATCAGTTAAGTGGTGAAAATTATAATTCATCTATCATTTCAAGCAGTATCACTAGATTAGGGCTTGCAAGTGAATTTTAGGTTAATTCACAATAAATTTTATGTCATATTGTCTTTGGTATGTTTGTATGCATGAAATAAGTTGGTTCTCATGCAGAGATTTAAATACAGTTAAGCGTATCATATAAATTATATCTTTATCAAGACTGGTACATTGTTGTTGCTGGCAAACAAATAAAGGCTCTGGTTTTTATAAACTTCTAATTAATCTGCCTGATTCTTATGAACATCAATATTAGTTAACATTCACCCAAGTTATCAGGCTAATTAGATTTCATCAGATGAAGATGAATGTCAACAAGAACATACTGAGTTTTGACACTGGTCACAAAATTGTGTGTGCTTAGGAACACAAATTCTATTTTCTTGTTCAGAAAGGCCTATCATTGGACCCTGCACTGAGTGAGTTGTGTCCATCTCAGTTTTCAGCTTCATGTCATGTTTCTGTAAAATCTATTTTGGTAAAAAGGTATTCCTGTAACAGGTCATGAAGGCCCATAGGGTTGTGAGAGGTCGAGGCTCCCACATTTTCTCTAGAAAATCGGCTCACAGATGGTGGTAACGCAAGCCTTACACTCTAGTCACCCTTTACCCCCCGAGGAAGATTCCTGGTACTCATTTGTATTAGAGGCTGAGTTGACCCCAGGGCCATAACGAGGCTGCAAGGATTAGGCAAATTAAAAAAAAAAATCCACCTCATCTTGACTCAAACCTGTGACTTTCCAGCTTGTAGCATAGTGCCTCAGCCAACTACGCCATTGCGTGCGGTATTATCCTGTTATTTGTGCTAAGGTCTTCTCTTTTTACATAAATTTATAATTTTCGCATGTCTCTCCCATCTTTACTGATTGGTTTAATCACTCTAATATTAAGCAAAGAGTACAAATTATAGACCTCACGAGCACGTAATTTTGTGGGTTGTTGTGTTACTTTCTCTTGCTTGTGTCCACATATTCTCATGTCTCTCCTATAACATTATCAGAATACTTTGCACTGAAATCAGTAGTATGAGCCGAAACATACTGTCTGGCTTTCATGTCCTTGTCAGAAAATGTCATAACAAATTGCACTTGATCTTTTTAGGTTCTGAAGTTGATATCTGGAGTATGGGGGTTTTGCTGTATGCATTACTGTGTGGCCACTTGCCATTTGATGATGATAACATTGACAGTCTCTATCGGAAAATCGTGGTGAGTTTCATTTATCTGATTCAGTGTTTAGTAAACATCTTTTTTTAAGGTGTTTAGATTTCCATTCTGGTTTAAATATTGTCCAGGCCACCAGTTATTGTGACTGAGGTGTTATGGTTTTCCTGAGTCCATAAAAAAGGCCGCTTCCTTCTGAATCCTTACCTACTTTCTACTCATCATCTACCCATCTCATTTTGTGCTTCGTAACTTCTGTAATTTAAATGGCATCCTCAGATAATCTAGAGGTTTGCCACTTAGAAATTGTAAGTATTCATATCTTCTTGTTCTCCTCCCCCCTCCTCCACTTGTTTCCACTTCATGTGTGTCATTTAGCAGCCAAGCCTACCCATCTGTCTTTGTCTTCCAAAAGCTGCTTCTCAGTTTCTTCTCATGTTCTTTCTTCCTTCTTTGTGACAACTTTTCTAACCTGTTCCCATCTTAACTAGGTCTTCCTCTTGGGCATTTTCCCTATAGTTTCATGTTCAAGTACAGTGGGGACTCAGTCCCTGGCACTTTCAGTGTAGCTCAGATGTCCTGATAAGAACCCTGAAAAGGAGGAATCATTAATAGGGCTGTGGTGAAATATGACAGGCCGAACAAGGTGATTGTAAGTTCTGAATCTGCTTTTGTGAAGCAACCAAACCTCAGAAAAACAATGGTGATAAAATGAAAAACTTATTATTATCATTGTCATTATTGCAATTGATGGCATTGTTGTCGTCGTCCTTCAACTACTTTTCCCTTCCATTTCAAATTCCTCCAACCGTTCAGGTTGTCTTTCCTCTTGAATGCATAAGGAGTGGGCCTTCTTGGCCCTTGAACCGCGACCACAGTGATCTATTGTGCCTTTGTTTTTCCTCTTACAAGTGTTAAAAACATATTCTTGGATGGCTATCCTGACAGGATTTTCATGGTTTTTTTCCAGTTTATCCAAGAAAAATTTAGAATATTACACTAAACTACGTTGCAACCTCCTCCTTCCAGATTCTTTGCATTTCCTTTCTTACACTTGTCCTCTTAAATTGTTGCTATATAATGTATGTAGTTCATAAAGTGTTATTACATAAATTATGAAAGAAGTGTTGTAAAAGTAATGCAGTTGCTTCTGAGAATTATAAATTGACATATTGACATTTCAGAGTGGAAAATACAATGAACCAGAGTGGCTGTCTGCTGGTAGTAAGAGACTGATAAGATCCATGTTGCAGACCGATCCCAAAAAGCGTATCACTGTTGATAGACTAGTGTCTCATCCATGGGTGATGCTGGGGTATGACAGTCCAGTCAGTAAAGATAGTGTTTGTGATGTAAGTGAAATACGTATGTGTTTCTTGCTGCTGTTAATTATTAATTAAACATGTTATGGGGGAGTGATGTTGGTCATCTTTAAAACTATTTGGTGAATTTTGATACAAATTAATGTTCAGAATTTACAGTAAAATTGTGCAGACTTGATTTTCGGTGTGTACCTGATCAACATAAGCCCAAATTTTCTTGAAGCCAGGTTTTATCACAATTTAATTATACTAAAATTGGTGCATGACATAAGGTACAGAATTTTTTAGATTACAATCATGGTTTGAAACATTTTTCATGGTAATATATATAGGGTTCACTTGTTACGTACAATTTCAAATTTGAGCCATCTCAGCACATGCAGCATGTCAGTTGGTAGAACACAGTGTGACTGCATATTCTTTATTTAGACAGAGAATTGTACATATAAGGGGGCACATGGCAGCGTAGTTTGTTGAGGCACTATGCTATGAGCTGGAAGGTCGCAGGTTTAAATCCCGATGAGGTGGATTTTTTCAATTGATCTAAACCTTTCAGCCACACTATGGCCCTAGGGTTGATTTAGCCTCAAACAGAAATGAGTACCAGGAATCTTCCTGGGGGATAAAGGGCGGCTGGTGCGTAAGGCTGATAACCTTACCACCAACTGTGGGCCCACTGTCTAGATAATGTAGGACCCTAAATGTCTCAGAACCCTATGGACCTCCATATATTTACCTTTATTGTACATATATTCATCAAGTTACTAAGCTCAAAAACCTCTTCAGTTTATATTAGTTACTGTAACTGAATGAAACAGAGACCCTCAGAAGGTGACGCACTTTCCGTTTGTCAAGAAATTTAATGTTTTTATGGAATTCAAAGGGTTCATAACCTTTTTCACAGGAGCCCGCTTCTTAACTCTATCTTAAACCAATAGAATTCAATCAACACTTTAGTGCAGTATTCAGTATTACTCAGAGAACCTGAGTGGGAGAAGCCACTTTAGAGACCTAGATCATGAATGAACAGAGTATGTACTGAGGAGTTTATAATCTGTATTCGTGACCAAATGGCACGCGGTAGCGTAGTTGGTTGAGGGGCTATGCTACAAGCCGGAAGGTCGCGGGCTCAAGACCCGATGAGGTCATTGGATCTTTTTCAATTGACCTAATCCTTCCAGCCACACTATGGCCCTGGGGTTCACTCAGCCTCTAACAGAAATGAATACCAGGAATTAATTAAATAATTTTCCTGGGGAGTAAAGCGCAGCTGGCATGTAAGGCTGACAACTTTACCGCCATATATGAGCCGATTGTTTAGATAATGTGGGAACCTCAACGTCTCACAATCCTATGGGCCTTCACGACCTGGTACAGGGATAGCTTCACTTTACTTTATTCATGATCAAATATTAGGGTGATGTGTAGGCTAAGTGGTCCATTTTCTGTTCGGTACAGGCATCTCTAGAACTGCATCTACATTAAGTGAACTTAGAAACAGAAAGATAAGGAGTTGCTGTGTATGAAATTGAAATTGTTTTTACTGTTTCAGCTAGATTTCATTTGTGTTCCTCTAAAGATTGGTCTTAATCCTGTTTTGGAAATTCCTGCCAACTAAAGATGTAATTCAAACTGAAGCTGGGTGAAAGAAAATGCTGGAAGTGACAAAAGAAAACAAATTTCATCTTTGCCATAGAAACTTGCTGAAGAAGTGTTTTTGTGTTTTAGTTACACGTGAAGGATGAGGAATGTCTGAATGTGATGTCACAATTCTATGGGATGTCTGCAAAGGACCTGTGGTCACGGCTTAGATCTTGGAAGTATGACTATGATACTGCAACATATCTCCTCTTAATGAGCAGGAAGAAACAAGGATTGCCTGTTAGGCTTGTTGCATCAGCTCATCAGCCCTGCAGATCAAGGATGGTGAGTGCATATTATTTATTTGAGATAGTGAAGATTAGTTAAAATTGTCCCTCTGTCTAATCATTAAGCCATGAATGTGCAGAGGGGCACTGAGGTAAAATTCCATGCATTCAACGCGAGATGCATGTGAGTAGTCAGCTTCTCATTCCAGCCACTTTGCTTCTTGGAGAAACCCTCTGATGTTGCTTGGTTGGCAGAATGAGTGAGGTACAGCTACTCTGGATGTGATGTTGAAGAGAGGACTCCTTGCCTTTACCATTAATTGAACCCAGGTCAACCAGTTTGTAGTCAGTCATCTTAGTGTAAGATTTGAGGTTTTCACGGTGGTGAGTATGAAGAAAACCGTCACCTGGGATGTGGCGTCATGTAAACATTGTTTTAGAGACACGTAACTTCGAATAAGGCCACACATTCCTGCATTCCCGCAACCCACCCCCTTGTCTGAAAATTTTCTTCTGCGCATTCAAGGTTACTCTTGGCGCTCTTGGCCCTGTTCGAAGTTATGTGACACTTGCTATAACCGACGGTCGGAGGAACGTATTGCTTTCATCTTCAGGGTAGAAGAAAAAGAGGAAATCTGCGAGGTGGTTCCTCGCTCACTGATTTTCTTTTTTTCTTCTACCCTGAAGATGGAGGCGATACTTTCCTCCGAAACGTCGGTTAACACAATATCTACATAGTGCCACATCCCAGAAGATGGCTTTCTTCACAGTCATCATAGTGACTGAATTATTATGAAATGGTACATGCTGTCAAATTCATTTGAAGGGATGTTAAATATGACTTGTATTTCATGTGTATATGACCCTTTAGATGTGGATCTGTACATCCACTCCCACATACACCTTCATGGCATAGTACTTAATTAGTTAAGCATAGGCACAATTTTAACTTGTACTCTTCTCCAAGTATAATTAGAATGATCAAGTCAAGGAGGATGAGGTGGGCAGGGCATGTAGCACGAATGGGGGAGATGAGGAATGTGTATAGGATATTGGTGGGAAAGCCAGAAGGAAAGAGACCACATTGAAGACCAAGGCGTAGGTGGGTGGAGAATATTAGAATGAATCTTAGAGAGGTAGGATGGGATGGTATGGATTGGATAGATCTGGCTCAGGACAGGGACCAGTGGAGGGCTGTTGTGAGCAGGGTAATGAACCTTCAGGTTCCATAAAAAGCTGGGAAATTCTTGAGTAGCTGCAAAATTGGCGGCTCTTCCAGAAGGGCTCAGCTCCATGAGTAAGTAAGTAAGTAAGTAGGCACAATTTTATCCTTTTTACATTTATGACCCTTTAGATTTACCAAGTATTGCATTATGGGTGCATTCTTCAGGTGAGTGAACGACTGTTCTGAGCAGGAAGGGGCCCCAGAAATTATGACAGTCCTGTATATTTACATGGTCATCATTGGTAATTGAACTTGAGTTGTTACATTTTGTTGTGTCTGCAGCCATTTGCTCTAATAATGTGATGTGCACATATTTTTACTTATTAGATTTTTACCTCGAATAATCTCTCTTTAATTTCTAATTCTGTATTTCAGCATCCTGTTGCAAATCTTTAATTAACCATCTATATATTCACAGTCCGCCAATAATGCAACCAATGTTTATTCACCATTTAAAACCTAACAAAACATGCTTTGGCCATAGATGGACATCTTCAGGTGTCTTAATGCATCCAAACTGTTATACTGCTCCGTGTACCAAAACCGCGTGTTGCAGTCCACTTAAAATTAACATAATTTTTTTAATTTTAATTATTTATGTTATTTTTACATGGACTGCAATGTGTGGTTTTAGTGCATATCTGAGCAGTGTAACAGTTTGGATGCACTAAGACCCCTGAAGATGTCCATCTATGGCCAAAATATGTTGTATTAAGTGTTAATTGGTGAACAAACAATTGTTTCATTACTGACAGACTCTCTTTAATTTATTTATTAACACTAGAATACAGAGTGGAGTAGTCAATGCGTTACGACCCGTCCACAGTTAAACTTGGATCCAACCTGAAGAGTAAAGTGTCGAAGACTAATTTAAGTTTTATCTCTTCATTTTGTGCAGACTGTTCCAAGGGTGCATAAACTGGATACTGCTTTGAATGGAATAAATAGGCTGGAAGATTCATCGCCATTGCCATCACGAAACAAAACAAATGAAATGTATTTAGTTTTGAGTGGAAGGGAATCGACACCTGACAAATATGGTGAGTCTGAGATATAGCCTCTTAGTTTTGTAAATCTTGTAACAAAAGAATGAAGCGTGTTCAGATAGTTCCAAAAATTTGTCTATAAATAATGTTTTTCTTGACCTAGGGGATATTAGCCCCTTCAAAATAGTTCCCTTGCGCAGCAGTGTAACTTTTCCGCTTTTGGAAGCATTGTTTGTAGGATGTTTGTGATATCACCTTGAAGTAATTCGTCACTTTAGTAACGTCTTCCACTATCTGAAATCATCTTCCTTTAAGGGTAATTCTCAGTTTAGGGAATAGAAAAAGCTGGAGAGGAGTGGTCAGGTGAACAGGGAGGTTGCGGAAGGGTAGGATTTGAATGTTTTGCCAAGAATTTTCTAATTGACAGTGCTATGTGATCAGGTGCATTGTCATAATGGAGAAGCCAGCTTCCCTCAGTCCACATTTGAGGTCATTTTCTTCGTACCACATCCCACAGATGTCTCAGAACCGCCAGATAAATATCTTCATTAATTGTCTGACCTTCAGGAGTGAATTCATAATGCACAATGCCTTGATGGTTGAAAGAAAACAAGCAGCCTTGCTTTCACTCGCGAGTATACCTGTTGTATTTTCTTGGGATGGGGTGAAATAGGACGCTTTCAGTGTGGGTCATATGAGTTTTGGAGGAGATTTTCAGAGGTGGATTGGTGCACTTTCTGATCACCAGTCAGAGACTTTCTGGAGTCACAATCACCTTCATTATTTTGAGATGTAGAAGTGAGTTTTCATTTATCTGTTTTTGGAGTGTGTTATTCCTTAGACCTTTATGCTGTGTGACCTTGGTTATGAATAATTTTAAATGTAAATTAGGAATAAAATATTTTATTTCAGAACGTAATCCTGTAATCCGAGTAAAGAAACCAATGGAGGGAAAAGAAAATAAGGGGGACACGAGGGGTGCTGTGCCTAATCGGAGGTCTGTCAAGCGGTTCAGGAGCCCAGGCCTTGATGACGCTGCTTCTCCTGGTGAGTACAGCTGTTTGCAAACATTTTCACAAGATCCAGGAAACTGAGTGTTGTGTCCAGTGACAAAATGTTGCATTTCTCTATCTATGGGCACAGACTCAAATAATTTAAGAAAGCTGAGTATTAATCCTTTTATGTAATGAGTTCTGTGCCTTCCATCCTGGACTGACATACATTTTACCTGAACCAAATGCACTTCTGAATGTAATGTGCACTATAGTTTACAGTTTTGAAATATAGGATTTGAGGTTCACGTTGCTCTTGGTGTTCAGTTTATGGTTTTCTGAAATGTGATGCCATGTAGTTACGTAGATGGGTACCGATGTTTCAGAAGAACCTGATGGATAGAGGAGTATGGAGGGAGCAAGTTCTTCTAAATGTTTCTTCCTGTGTACCTGACTGCATGCCATCACATTCCAGAACATTGTGATCTGAACAATTTTGAAAGATTAAATAGAGGGAAAATGTTTTTTGCACACTTGTATAAAACTTATTAAATAGTTCCTGTGTACAGGAAGCAACTTTTTATTTTTATAATCTTGTGTTCACATTTTTTACATGTTAGTTTACAGCATTTTGTTTATAATACGTGGTTATATACCAAACATATCCTCAAAAAATAAAGAGAAGTTTCTAGTGGACTACAGTGAAATTGCAGTAGAACATATATGGCTTATAATGAGCACTCTATTATAGTGACAAAAATCACTGAGCCATCAGATTCTTAACACAGTGCATATGGAAAACCATGGCATAAACAAGGACTGTTTCCAGCAGGTGTGTCATAATGAGTGATTACTAATTAGTCACCACAAATGTCGCCGTGCCATAGCTCAAGCAGTTAGACGCTGGCTTCTCACCGCGGCGGCCCAGGCTCAATCCCGCGTCTCATTAAGTGGGATTTGTGGTGGACAAAGTGATGCTGGGGCAGGTTTTCTCCAAGTATTTCAGTTTACCCTGCCACTCTTCATTCCACTGGACAGTGATTGAGGCTAGCTCTTTCTAAGGGCCCAACAGAATAGGTGTTTTCCCTCACCTGAGGACAGAAACAGATCCAGTTTCCGAAACGTCGTGTTTTTTTAGTTATCTTAAAACCAGGACGATGGATAAAGTCCGAAAACCCAATATCTCTGTGTGTTATAAACCATCTTCAGAATCCTATAGTAACTACCTGTACATTCAGAGTTTGATAACAATGAAACTAGTGATTTAATTTTGTTTATATGATATAGCAAGTATGTACATTCAGTGCCAAGAGTGGCTGCGATTTCGATACCCAATATGTATGTCTTTATGAAGGAAACCAAGAAAGTAATGATGATTAAGGGGGACCCCAAATAATTAAACACCTCTTCTATATTTTAATTAAAAAAAATTAAGTATAAAGTATACTACTACTA